AAGGCCCAATTTAGTTGCTTCATCCGAGAAAATCTTGGGTGGGATGGGAGTACCACCTTGGCAGTCAAGTCATTATCAAAGTCGATTGATTGTCAAACGCTTGTTTTCTCTCTTTTTATCGCTATCTTTTATTTAATCGATAAAAAAATATTATTTGTGTGTGTACTTCTTTACTTGTTCATCAAAATGAAATTATTATTTAGGTTTTAGTGAAATGGGTAGAAAATTTACTTGATAAAATATAATATATTTTTTGATTTTAACAAATGCAATATATGTCACTCACTGTTTTCATTTTATTTTTTTTTAATTGACATAAATATTATTGCTTATGTGTGTTTCCTTACATTTTCATCAATATGTAACTTATTACTAATGTTTAGTAAACATGAGTAGAAGTATTAAAAGAAGAGAGAGATAGCATCATAAATAGATCAATAATTATATTTTTTGTTTGCAAAAAAATTGTCCATATTGGCAACTTGTGAATTCTCCAAGTGCTTATGTGGCAAGAAGTTACTTTTGAATTGCCATAATATATAGTGTAGATGTAGATGTAGATAATTCATAATCTAGTTTTCAAAACATGATATGCTTTATCATCTGGGTTTCATGTCAACAGAAAATTTAGTTTTAGTTACATACAAAAATTTTATAGTTCTAATCGTTAGTAGATTTGTACAATATCAATAACCTTTTATTTCTAGTTGTTAATAGATTTGTTGGATAAGATTTTTTATTAAAATTGTTCTAGATGTTTTATGTAAAGAATATAATTATTGTTTGTTCACGAATGAAAAATGCTTGAATTTGAAAATATTATCATTCCAATGTGTACGTAGGTAAAAGTAGAGTTATAGGTATAATATGTTCATTTACTACGCATTTTTCTCAAACATGCATTTCCGTTAGATTTCTCATCCAAAAGTGTTAAACTTAGTCAAACCATGGTATGACCAACCTAAAATAACAAATACGCCCTTTATTATAATAAACAACCAACCACAAATTTATAGGCCAATTGAAATATACGCAGTTTGTTCTTCCCGCTTCTTTCTGCTTCATTGGTCCGAAGATACCATTGACAACCTATCATTGGAGGCAATTGAAACGACTAGCAAGTACCAAGCGGCGACAGCCAAGGGTGAAATTCCCAATCTGAAAATTCGCTTCGAAACCTAAACTCTTTCTTCTTCAAATTTGCATATGAAGAAGTGCTCGAGATCAATGGTAATAGCAGTCGACAGAGTGGATCCGAATCGAGAACGATGTGGCGACAATGACGAGATTTGGCGGCGAGAGGCACTACACGATAGGATAAAGATTTGAGATCCACAATCGTACAGGAAAATAACATTGTTTCATATATTTTGACTTTGAGCAGTCTCATTAGGCTTTTCGATACCCAAATCTGTAAATACTCTTCTCACATCCCGAAAAAGATTTGTTTATAGCAACGTGGATGTGGAGATTAGAGCGACAATGGCTTCCCATTTTCATTTCTGAAGAAAAGATCATGTCAATTGCGAGGCTTTAGCGACGGTGGTGGTGTGGGGTTTTAATTTAATTTGTTTTAATTGTTAATTTTTTCCATAAATTATTAGGGATACTTTTGTAAACTCATATTGGTGATACCAAGGTTTGACCGAGTTTAACGGTTCTGGATGAAAAAATTAACGGAAGGGCATGTTAGAGAAAATACATAGTAGAAGGACAATTTTGATGTAATATATAGTAGAGGGGCATGTTTGATAAAAATGTATAGTAGAGGGGCAAATTATACCTATAACCCATAAAAATATTCTCAACTTATTTTGAAGGTTATTCGATGGCCAAGCTATACACACAGTTAAATTTTAATTGTCATTCACACTTGGTAATAATCAATATCTATTCTTTCATTATTTTCAACTCATTCATTTGAGAGAAAAAATTCCATACCCACTAAAAAAAATTACTACATAATGAATCTCATTTTTTACATTTTACAAATTCAGAAATCAAATTCATATTGGGGATAAAATTGCTTAGTCTAACTTTGTTGTACTGGATCACAAGGAAGTTGGATTTTTTGGAAAGTCTGTAGGGATGAAACTATTCCATGCCTCATGCCTGTGAGTGAATGAGAGGATACCTACCTCTTTACCTCCTACAAATTGAGGCAATGGAGTTCAAGTTCGACACTAAACACACTGATTCCAATATCACAGGCCCTATAAGTAAGTACACAGTTTTGAAGATTAGGAAGGTTGAATTTTACTTGCACTAAAATGATATTTCATATTTGAAAATATTTTACCATTAGATGTTTGCTTTCAATAAAATGCAAGAGAAGAAGACAGATTTTGTTCAAATTACTCTTATAAGAGGTTCTCTCACCAAAGTACTTTTATAAGAATTATACATCAATCTTTTTAGGATAGGCAACAATCTACATATACTATTTCATTCTTTTTTACTTCAACTTCATTCATTCGAGGAAAACACACCAAAACATAATGTCGTCGACTAAATAGTATATCCAAATTGCTTCCATTTTATAGATTCAAGATTAAATGTGGAAATTTTTTGTTGAATCTGACTTTATTGGTCCGGTATGCGAGAGAGTTAGTTATTTGGGAATGCATAATGAGAAACTATTTGAAGACAGTGATAGAATGAGAGGACCTTTACCTTCTCAACTCCTACAAACTGAAGGAATGAAGTTGAATTTCACATCAAACTCATCGATTACAATATCGCGAACCTCATTAGTGAGTAAATAGATTTAAAGATAAGGAAAGCTAAAGAAGGGTAATCTCACACAAAGTTCATGACATGGACAAGGTAAATTGAACATCTTGAAAATGGTGTTTCACAAATGTAAATGTTGTACCATTAAACTTTTGCTTTCGATAAAATGTGCGAGAAGAGAAAGAGTATGCTAATGGTGGCGGTAGCGGATACGACGATGGATAATGGCATTATTGTGAATAAGGAAGAGATTGTTGGTGGTGGATATATATATTTTCAAGATGGGTGAAGAGAGCGAATTGTTGATCATGTTTAGATTTGGGTAAAGTAAATTCAACTGGCGTGAAAATGATGTTTCACATTTTCAAACATTTTACAACTAGAGTTTGAGATTCAATGAAATGCATTAGATAAGGAAAAGACTATTGGTGGTTAATATAAAGGTTTCATGAGTGAAGATGAAGCCGCATTGATAAAAAATGATTTTGATGGTGAAACAATCACAAAAAATGCCCAAAAGAACTTTTGTAGTAATTTTTGGAAAGATAAAATTTGTAGTAATTTCTGAAAGTAGTAAATTTGAAGTTCACTCTTATTAATCTTTTTAGGAATTGATACTTTGCATGAGCTTTTTTATACTTTTATTAAAGACCGTTATTCATGAATGATTAGGATATAAAAAAAATTATAATGTATGTTACCAATTTATACTAATAGTAATTGAATAATTTAGATTCTTTCATGGTACATAATAAAAATATAATTTTGTTTGGGCAGTTACTATTATCGTTTATACCATATATGTAATTCATCCAGCCAACGGGCTGGTCCCAATCTAGTTTCTACATGTAGACAGACTGATAGAGAGGAGTAGGGGTGGAAATTGGGGTGGGTGTGGTTACCCGCCCCACATTTTGTGGGTAACCACACCCACAAATATAGAATTATGCTACCCACAACCCGCCCCACAGTGGGTAGTGGTTAACCACTATCCACTGCGGGTTGGATGTGGATACCCACAAAAATTTTCCTTCTTTCACTCTTTCGACTCGTATATGATAATAAACCTATCGGTCGAGTGAAGGAAAAAAAACACATTGACTTAAAACTAAGTAAAGAAGCCCAAGACATGGAACGAGCGAGGGTACGGTACTCGGAACCTCCTAAGTAGTCAACCTCCCTCTCCTCTGTTCACTTCACTCGCTTACTTTCTTTAGGAAATGCATATTGATAACGTGTATGGGTTGGAGGGGATCTAATCTAAATATAGATTGCATCTTTATCAACGGCATGACTCATTTGCTTTTTTATTCGAACTTTTAGGGATAAATGGAATTCTCTCCCAAGTTGCGGAATTATCGTCCTCTTACACAAAAACAAAAGCCTATATAAAAGAAAGTTAATAAAGTGTTAAATAAACTATAAACCACATTCATTGGCTTTATTTTGTTATAAAACATATACCACGTGGACAATGCTTATTTAATAAAAGTATATCATACGAACACGGTGTATTGGCTTGGTTTTGTTTTATTAAATAAATATATATTTGATTTTGGAGCCTACTTTAATTAGCAACATTCTACTTTTCACATAATTTATTACAAATTAGATTAATAAATAAATGTACTTATTGTGGTTATTGTGGGTTTTGTGGGTTAACCGCTGTGGATAGTGGTTAACCACTAACCACAAAAATCAATATTTTGCTACCCACACCCAACCCACTATCCACAAATTGTGGGTATAGTTACCCACAATGTATGCGGTTTGGTGCGGTTTGCGGATTATCCGCAATCCGCAAACCAAACTTCCACCCCTAGAGAGGAGAGTGGAGATGACTCTTGAAACTTACATGGGCCGGCCCGGCCCCGCGTGTCAAAGTTTTTATCACGCACGGGCCTTGGAAATGCAAGAAAGTAGTTAGCTTTGTTCTTCAGGCCCAACTATTCTCGAAGCCCTAATTATATTAGAACCCCAATTTGCCAAGACAAGAATGCTGGCTTTAAGGTCTTTTACCTTCCGATAAGAAGAATGATACGATGAGGATCGCATCGGAGTATGAATCGGTGCAGTGAGCAATTTAAAATTTAATGGTTTAATGAGTCTTAAATCATTAAAAATCGTTAATGTATTTGGTGCCTTATAAACAAAAATATTATAAGTACAATACACAAAAATAAAACATATTAAACCGTAAATCTGAAATATAATTAATGGTTTGGGTATGTATATAAGGCAACTAAGGTAAACTTTCGCAATTTAGAGATTATAAGTTCTTAAAGTATTGATAGTTGGACTTAGGTAATGCATTTAGGACTCAAATTAAATCTCATCCATCATGTTTTATCCACCAACTCATTGTTTGTTTAGAAGAAAAAAAAGGTGTCAAGTTTATAGGTTCCCTGAACCCATGAATCCGAAAAACCCACCAATTAAAATGAAATTTTAACAAGCCTCTTAATTCATGATGAAAATCAACTCAATTTAATGGTCAATAAAACAACCTGTATGGGGTAAGCCTAGCATTCCTAAACACAGTCTTGTTGTTTGGTTGATTGTTCTTGACAGGATCACTACCAAAGACAAACTGGCTATGTGGGGGATTGGCACGGATACAGCTTGTTTAATGTGTCCAGGAGGCAATGAATCAAGGGACCATCTGTTTGCGATGTGTTCCTTTAGTAGATATGTGTTTGCAACTGTTATGAGGAAGATTTGCTTATTTCCTGAAGCTCTAACCTGGCAGGATCAACTTCAATGGGTCATTCGAGCATGGTCAGGTAGTTCTGATAAAGCCAAGGCTGGTCGTTTATTATGGAGGTTGTCGCTGAATTACATTTGGAGGGAAATGAATATTAGACAGTACGGATCCAAGCATGTTTGCTCCCCAGTTCAGATTGTGAAGAAGATAAAGGATGAGCGTATTTTGATAGCCCAGAACAACCAGTCGATGCTGAGTATAGGGCAAAAGTTTATAGAATAGAGTTTCATATTGTAATTAGTTAAAAAGGTAAGATCTATACTCAGATGTACCCAAAGAAAAGAGGTTGCAGTTTGCACCTCTAGTGCTTAATGTCATTTTGAGTAACCATAAAAAAAACCTTGTCATATCGTATTTTGTATAGTGTTCGTGAAATCATACCAAGAATTTGATCAGAAAAACATCGTATCGCAGTTTAAACTTTGAATATTTTTTAGTTATATAATATGTTAAATCATCGTTAAATCACGATCTTAATATAAAATATCTTACCACTAACACTACAAGAAAAGCAAGTAATTGCGACGGTCACCTACCGACAGTCTCCTCCGACCGTCTGTATCTAACAATTGTTGACGGACAAGCGGACGGAAGATATGAGCGTCGTAATGTAATTAAAGGTGGGCTGCTAGCTGCAGGTAACAACAAAGGCCCACAACTCATTTCATTTTTCTTTTTCTTTTATTTTTTAAATAAAAGAATAAATTAATCATTTTTTTTCAATTGATTTAATTCAACTCTCACTGATATCGTGAGGCAGAGGAGAAAACTCTAGGGAGAAAGAGATAGAAGGGAAGAGAGAGAGAGAGCACGAAGTGAAGGGTGAAAGCTTGCTCCAATTTTGTTTCCTCCGCCGCGTATATTCCTCATCGATTGAAACCCTAGATTGAACAGCTTCAGTGCCAATGACAACAGAGAGTCTCGCGGCCGCTCGGATTTGTCAGCATCGACGCATAGAGGAGAGATGAATTTCTCATACGTCTTGTTGAATTTCGACGCGCTGTAGATGGGATGGACGATGGGTCTCTCAGAATTGAATTGTCATCGGGCATCATCTTCACTCTCAGTCATGGAAGATCTGAGCCACAACCGCTATCATCTAAGATCTGAATCGAGGTATGAGTTCTGGAGGCGAGGCGTTCGATTGAGTTGATGCTCTCAATTGGGGCTTTTTTCTCAAACCCTAAGTTTTATATTCTCAATTGTGTTTCCGCTCTTGCTTCCTCCATTAAACGATTCGTATGTTTGTTTGGTTTGACTAATGCATGTTGAGTGTAGAACTCATAAGTTAGCGTGCTGGAGATTGTTTTGGTAGTTGAGAAGTTACATGAAAATCGAAACCTAAAACTCAAAATATAACTTTACTCTGCAAGTCGTATGATTGAAATTTTGGAAAGTGGCCCTGTTTTTCGCTTCTTAAACGCAGTATTTCGAGCTAGTACAACAGTGAGGCCATGAGGGAAGAACTAGAAGACAAGAGGAAAGGTCGGTAATGAGGGGAAAATGATAAAACTATGCATGGTAGATACACTCAGAGAAATGTGTGAATATGGAGAACCATTACTAGAATTTTGGTGAATCTGAACCTATCCTGAGGTCCAATTTAGGAAACAAAAATCATCATGCAGTGTTTTGTGAGCTTCCTGTTGAGGTTGTAAGTGAAATTTATTTCAAAGGAAACTATTTTGTTTTTTGGAATTTCACACTGCTAGTCAAGTATTGGGTTTTCTAACTCACATATACTACTACTTTCCAGGTTTCTTATCCTGTCCAGATGTATGCCATAGTGAGTATGAAGTGAATTGTGATCAAGAGGAAGGAAAATGTATTCTGCTAATCCTGGTATCGCTTGACAAACTAAAAGGTTGTCTGAGTTTCAAATGCATGCTCAACTAGTCATCTCTCTTTCCTTTGATGCTTTTTGTTCATGTGTTTACTTCTGTTCATAGTGGAGTCCTTTAACCTCATAAGTTGCGATTTAATGGACCAATATGCAATGTAGTGTGATTTTTATGACATGCTGATACCCTTTTCTAGTTGGGCCATAAATCACACAATACACTAGTTAATTTAGTGATACGATTATAGCAGATCTAGGTTGTTTCTTTCTCGACCTCCACGTTGTTTCTCTGGCCTTCAATTGAATAACCTTCAGCCTCGGGACCAGCAGCAACTGCGACGGTCTGAAATTCATGAATAACTTAGTGAGTATGTTAGTGAAACTCACCTTCTTACTCATGTGGCTGTTGTTGCTTCTGATTATGTTTACTATGTCCACAATGTAGGGTCTTTGAAAGTTCCCTTCGTCTTCCTTACTAAGGGTGAGACATCTAAGCCACTTCGATTTTCAACCCACTCATTTACTTAACACTGTATGTGAAGGCCACGCTAATCAAATGAATGGAAATAATACATGTGCATCAATATTTTCCTGTTTTGAAGCATTAGTTAACTCTCTCTGTATGATTCTTCATGAGTTAGGAGGTGGTCTTCCTGAACATAGACAAACTTCGGAGTTAAGTGGGATTCTGGGGATTAAGATCTTACCTTCTCAGGTATTGCTTTAACTCGCTCAATTTTGTTGTTTTGCTGTATGGCTCTACTGTTTGACTGATGGGAAGCTGGGCATAGTCTCTTGTTTCAGGTTTTATAAGGTCACTCTCCTTTTAGAAATCTGCTGAAGGAGTATACACATAGTTTGAGAATCCTCTTCTGCATATGCCTCGAACAGGATTTTCATTATTAATTAACTTGCCTTGCAGATATGAGCATTAACTCATTGTTGCTACCGGATGTTTCAGAGTCCGTCACTAAGTAGTTTATTTTTTTTTATTATGGAATTAGCTTCAGCTCTTCTCAGGTTGGAACTTGGCTCCTAGGCATGAACTGAAGTTTGGCAGCTTTTTAGACCGTGAACAGGTGACCGTTTACTATATTATTTTCTCATTTCACAGCTTATATTGGTGATAATGGAGTCTTGGATTGATGTTAAGTAGCCATAGAAGTACTTTCCTGGAGGACAAATGGAAAGGTTAGCATGAAGAGATGTGATTCACTGAGTGTGAAGAGTGTGAGAATACAATGTTCAACAGTATTCTTTTTAATCGTGGTATACCTATTAACATGTTTGATTTCGCACCATTCCCTGACTCTTCCCATTTCTCAATTTCCAGGTTGCATGCAATTATTATGGTTCTGCTGGTTCACTTGCAACAGCAAGGAGAAAATGGAATGGTAAGTTTTCTTTTTATTTACCCTTCTATATGAACAGAGTGACTTCATTGCTGATCATATGTTCGTTTGTTTAAACTGAAGGATAGAAAGTGAATTTGTGATTCATTGTGATTGGTTGATCAGTCCACTATTTTAGAAGGTAGTTAACTCAAGTTGTAATCTATTAACTCAAGTGGTAATTATGATTTTCCTTTATTTCAGGGGACAAATGCAACAACACCAGCTTCAGCAAGGTATAATAAACACTACAAGAAATTGTAATTTAACGATGGCATATGAGGAGTCTACCAGCGTTTACAGCCACAGGTATTTCCGCAATTTCTCCTCGCCCTTTTTCCTCAGGTTTTCATTTCAATTGGAGTATTTCTGAGTTGTTTGATTATCGGTCATGTTCTCCTTGGTCAATTGGGTTGAATGCCTAGTCCCTGCAGCTCAAGTGAGTGTTCGATGTTTGTAGTTTTGTTTCAAATGCTTGGAATTTGGGTCATATACATGCATGATTGAGTACTGTTAATGCTTCTCACGCATGACTAGATACTGGTCAATATCACCCTTTTGGTTACTAGTACTGCATAGCAGCTTGTTGTAGTTAATCCAATTTTAATCTAGTTAGCTAGCTTGTTTCATGGTGCTAAATCTGTTTATATATATTCTACCAACCAAAAGCTAGCAATTTTGCTTCCTCTTTACGTATACATATACATATATTGCACGCTGATGTCTCGTTCTCTATATGTAATCCATAGTATTCACTATAACTAAGTTATCTTTTCTTCTATTTGTGATGTTCCAAGTAATGAATACCAATTTTGTGTACTACATTAGGCATTATACTTTGGTAATTAAGTGATTTGAATCGGGTGTTTCTGCAGAGCTGCTAGTTAATGAAGGAAGTTTATATACCAGTCTCCACAGTGCTGGAGTTTTGTCTTTGGTGGTATTATAAGGAGCAAAGAGGGACTGTAAGTGGAATTTTGAACTTTGTAAGTGGTTTGAATGAGAGTAGTAAACTTTAGATTGTAGGTTTTGAACTTTTGTAAGTGGTTTGATTGGATTTGGTTGTTCCAGAATTTAAGGATTGATGTTTTATGTTTCTGATATGGTAATTCAAAGTAGCTGGATTTATGATCATCAAAGTATCTGTATATTGTTGATTTGGCATATCAGAAAATCACAGCTGGCTTCCTATGAAAAAAAAAATCATAGCAGGCTAGGGCAGAGCAGGCCTCTCTTTAAAACAAGTGTTTTGGCGACAGTCGCTGGCTTTTAGCGACGGTTAGAGTCCGTCACTAATTAGTTTATTTTTTTATTATGAAATTAATTTAACGACAGTCGTTTGGAAGATTGCGTCGGTCAGTGCCGTCGCTAAAGTTTTCCGACGGCTAACGCGACGGTCGACCATAAACGTCACTAAAATATTTAAGGACTGTTGGGTCAGTGACGGTTTGTTGTCCGTCATTAAAACTTTTAGCGACGGGTTTGACCGTCGCTAAAATTTCTTATGACCGTCGCTAAATAACAGCTTTGTTATAGTGTAACTTTACTTTTTTTTTGTTTCGAACCACTAACTTTACTAGTACATGCTCGATCTGATTTTATAATCCTTGCTTTCTTATATTAAATACCATACTCGTCTAATCATATGATCACATATACGATATTATCCTTATCATTTTTTTTGTTATTTCTTCAAAAAAGAATTAATGTGTCATTGATATCTATCGGTAACCTTTTCCCACCCTAAAAGAATTAATATTTGACTTCCTCGATTCTAAGCACGATATCAGCCCGTGTATACTACTATTAGTATTAAAAAGTGACATCTTGGCAGATATGATAGGAATAGTTTCTATCAAATAACTTGTTGCAACAAAAAATAAATATGAAATTTTTGTTGGATGAATTAACCATAAGTTGTGTAAACGGATTAATTGGTCGTTTACTTATATCCAACATGAAAATAAATACCCCGCTTAAATTCATATTTGAACACATGTACAAAAACCTCCTTAGTCCCGTGAAAATATCCAAGGTGGAGTGGCCGGCCGGCCGCCGCAATCGCACATGTAACCATCTCTCTCTGGAAATTGACACACATGGCTCCACGGGATCATGAACCCATCAAGAACATTAGTACCAAGGAAGTTGCAATCGTGTTGGGAAATATATTAAGTCACGTGTTACAGAAGACCAAATTGGTCACATGCCATAAAATCGAAACGCCAAATTTCTTTCTCATATGAAGTTGTCTACCGATTGGATCCAGAAAGTGCTAATTGGGTAGGCTGACTGAGGCTTTATTGAAATCTAATTGCGGGGAAATATGAGAATAGGTTTTCTTGCTGTTGGCGCTAGCCTTTCGCTTTGGGTTCGTTTCTGATCTTGTTCAGATGTATCGGCTTTTGAATCACATTCGGAGAAGAATTTCGATTGGTTTTAAATGAAGGTTAGGATGCTTTGCTTTCATTTATATTAAAGAAAATCAAAGTATGGACAAAACCGTTTTATACAGTTAAAGCGTCCCGTTTTATTCTTTGGGTTTAGATAGTTCAAGTTTTATACTTAAACAAAATTTAAACTAAAATTTTTCGAATGAAATGAACTATCACTAAATTCAACAATTAGTTTGACCGTGGAACGGATTCTTATTAAGATATTTAATGTGGTAGTCGTATATGATTGAATCTCATTTGGAATTTAGAATCTCATAATAATTAGATGATCTTCTCTTGAAATATGCAGGAGGAAAATTATTCGTAGTAATTATATTAGGAATGAAATCAGTATCTCCTCCTCGTTGTCAAGCCATTTCCCAACGTGATTTTAGGTTTGGTAAGATACCTAAGTTCCTAAGCTGCTGTGTCGTCTTAGACTTAGTCGCATGTCCTTTTGGTTAGGTGGACTTGAATTATACTTGCTCTCTCTTTCTTGGTCCTTTTCTAGTTCTCTTCTTTAACTTGCAAATAGGCCAACCACATAAATTCACATTCATGATCATGTTAGTTTCTTTTAACGTACTCGTTTTTATCTTCAATTGATGGTTTTTCCCCGAATGAATAAAGTATATGGCCACTTGTGTAACAATGAACTGTAATTTCATGTAATGATGCAACACAAATTAACACCTAGATAAATAGTGTTATAGAAAAAAGGGGGGAAAATCAGATACAAACATATAATTCGATTTTGTCAGAGAATGAAGTTTATCAATATGTAATGTATGTAAGCAATTTTTTAAATTGTCAGATGGCGTGGAAGATTTATAAAGTCATAGTGCGAGCCTTCTTTTGTTGATGATTACTAATTTGAAACTCCTAAATGTTGGTTGATCTCCCATTTCGTACGAGAGAAATGCAAATGAGTCACGAACAATGGCCTAGTCTAGTGCTAATATCACTAGTTTTAAATCTAAAGGATTAATATTTGAATTCTTTTAAATATAACCTATATTATTATCTTTTTTTTTAAGAGAAGGCAAATGAGTATCTTTTTGTGGGAAAATATAAGCAAGAAACCAGGAGAAGAAGTAATTAAAATTACCTTTTGAGTAGCTTTTTATATGTGTAGGTACGTGAAAGATGGTGACCTATCGGAGTTTTTGCCCCAACCCATTTTTCTACCTATCCACCTCAATGTACATATACAACTTGCTTCATTTCGGTAAAGTTGCATCTATATAGAATAGACCCACAAAACTGTACATTTAACCAGAAAAATATCAGTTGAATCATTAAGATGGAAATCAAAACTCACATGTAAGACAACTACCTAATAATTGAACTAGAAACGAACTTTCATGTTTACATGTACTTAGGGGGGCCGTTTGGAGAAATGAATTTGGATTTAATGAATTCATAGATTGCTTAGAAGTTATATTTTTATTTTTGTTGCTTAGAAGTTATATTTTTATTTTTGTTGCTTTTTTATCGTAAATTTTAGTATTAGAAATTTCAATTCTCTTTCTCTAAAATTTAGAAATATCACATCTCTTCCAATCATAGTAATTATGCATATTGATTTGTAAGATTTTTTTCCCCTCCTATCATATCCTCAATTTTTATTTATCACATAAGATATCCTTACCAAAAGAATCTCAATGTTTCTTGAGCAACTATGATTGTCTTCGTTAAGGATAAAGATGTCCTTTAATAAATAATTAAAATTTCATTTTGCACTAAATGTTAATAATCTCAATTACCATCATAAAAGAAATTCAACAAACTAAAATCTTTATATCATTTAAAATTTACTCAAAATCTCCAAACTAACATTTAGGTTTATCTGTAGGGATGACAATCAAACCCATGGCCATGGGTATCCGACCATCTCCGACCCAGTCAATACAAGGAATCCCCGCTTTGATTGGATATGGGGAGGGTATGGTTTTAGCTTTTCCCGCCTCATACCCATACTCATACCCGCCCCACCTAGAGAATTTCTTGACATTAAAAAAAATATGTGGATCAAATTGTAACCTATCAATGATAATGAGGATAATTCAAAAAAATAAATAGTAGAAATGCAATTGAGCACCTAATGAAAATCTTATTCATTTCCCTCAATTCTCCCTTCACTCTTTCACTTTTCCTCCTCGTCAACAAGATTAAGTTAGTTAATTATTACTTAGTACATGTATCAGAGTTAGAGCATAATAATTTGAAAAATATTGTACTTATGTATTAATGGATATTTTTGTATCATATTCTTTGAACCGTGTTATGCAAATGACCGTGTTTTGTTGAATTAATGATAGAGTAGGTTCTTTTGATGTTACAATTAAGAAAATTCTTGTAACGGTTTAGGTATAATAATGTTGGATGAATGAGCCATGTGTTACCATGGGTATTCGAAACCCACGGATATGGGAATGAGTTTGCAAAATACTCCCTGCATAGATATGAAGCGGGTATGAGTTTGAGTATTTGAAAACAGGGATAGGAATGGTTTAGGCAAACCCGCCCCATTGCCATCCCTATTTATCTGGCTATAACTTGTGCTGAACACTACAAGAAAATCTGCCTATAGAGGCAGAGGTTATTTGTGCCTAAAAGACATTTATTTGTTTCTGTATATTTTTTGAAACAAATAAATTATTTGCATCGGACGCCTCTGTTTCTAATTTTCTTTTGAAGCAAACATAGGTGCAAATAATATATGCTTCTAATTTAAGAATAAGAGTCAAAAAATTTTGAATGTAATTCCACTTTTAATAACCTATATTTTCTTTTTTTTCTTTGGTTTCATAGACAAATATTTTTGTTCCTAATACTAGATTTTGAAGCAATTACATTTGATTTTAAAAAATTCTACGGAAACATAATTTTTTTTAAGCAAATAATTTTGCTTCTATTCTAATTTTCAACTTTCATAATTTTGATTCAATTTGAATTTTTCTCTATTTCAAGTTTCAGTTTAGAAATTTGCAAAAACAGAACGCCCACACCATTGAGTTTTATATAATGATGAAATGATGACTCGGCTCCTATAATTTTACCCTAATCCAAATTATCCTTAAATTCCGGATCTAGTATGTGATAAGTCTCAAATTATATCAAACTTATATGAGTTATTATTTTTATTTTTTCGGTAATGAGGAGAGATCCAACCCATACGATAAATTGGCCCAACCGTTATGAATATCTGGCTGGTTATATATCAACAGGTCTGGGTGAAATAGAATGTGTTATATACCCTCTCCAATGATCGAATAACATTTTAAATAAGATCATTCTCGATTTCTTGTAACCAAAAGCTAGCAAGTTTGTAATATGACATATCAGTTTCGATTCATATGTGGTTCGAGAAAAACCAATATGTCGTACGTATTCTCTCACAACCATATCTTGAGTTCTTGATATAGTTTAATTTTTTTTAAAAATTTCGATGTTGATTGATCGTCTCAAAGATATTTACATGTATATTGAAAGAGAATGAGCAAGAATTTAGGTTTAAAAGACAAACAATGCTTTTTTTTAGTGATATGGATGTGCATGTGCTAAATGGTGAAATGAGAAGATATAGAACATATTTGTGCACATAGTCGGTTGGTTTTGGAGTGGATTCTTAAAATATCAAACCCACATAAAAATCATTACTTTTTATAGAGTCTGGGAAAACCAACCAAAATCATGGTAATTAGATTTTCCTCTTTAAAATTGGTTCGAGTTCGGTTGGTACTCATGAGGATGCGTAATTTTGCCATCCACAATATCCAGTTGACAAGCATATACAATTGGTTTAGACTTGTACGGCAACCTTGCCAGAACCCGATGGCTATCATAGGGACGATATGAAAGTGATAGTGACCAAGACTCGGACCCAAAACTTATCGGAACCAAATCTAAACCGTCATCGAATTATTTATATCTAAAGGAAGCCGAATTTTGAAATTATATCCGCCATTTGTACAAGTAGCCAACTAGCTGAATGCACTCCTAAAATTTCTCCGGAGAAGATCTACAGTGGATGCATTTTGAACTTATGTTAAATATGGAGAAAACTAAAGTGGGTGAAAAAACTACATATACAAAATAGGCCACCAAAAATCGTTGGATCGATGGGTTATATGCAATCGGATCACGTGTTGAATTAGGGAGATGTAGCTAGGAAGGGTTTGGGGGAGGAGATTGAAAATTTTGTAAGCGCAATTCATGCCCTGAAAAGAGGAAACACAGAAAGGCAAAACCAGAAAAGCTGGCGGTTTCTAGAGTATAACCTAATATCCAACCAAACATTGTACAACGAGGGAGGGCTAGGGCTGGCTCTGGCTCTGGCTCTGGCTCTGGCTCTGGTTGGGGGAAAAAGGAATTTCGAAGCATTCAACACGTGCAAAATGTGAGTCCTCCAAAATTAAATAAAACAACGTGAAGATATTAGAACGTGGAGCCCTCTCACTTTAACCTTATTTACGGTTGATTAAAATCTCGGGTAGGCCGGCCACATGACATGATCATTCCTCTTCATTCATTCATGAATCATATACAGAAAAGAGATTAGTGGGCTTAAAATTGAATACGTGTTTAAGCTTCTTCAATTCCATTTTCCCCTTTCTCCATCTCTATATATATGCCGCACGTCCCATTCCCCCCGGCCTCACAGCTCCTTCTCAATAACAAGGTTTCTCTTCTTCTTCTTCTTCTTCTTCTTCTTCTTCTTCTTCTTCTTCTTCTTCTTAATTATTACTATTAGATACATAGAATAATAAGGAAACCCCATCTCTGCGATTAGGGTTTCGATCAACAGAACGGCAGGGAGGGGAACGTGCGGTGCGTATATATAGCACTCTCTCGGGTGCAATAAATAATATTCAAGAACCAGCAGTGCCATTTTTCGTTCTTCTGTTCATATTGGTGTGGTTTCAACTTTCAAGCAACAGAAGGATTAGGGTAATTAAGCGATAATCGATCAATGGGGGAGAAGGGAGAAGAGGAGAGGCCGCCGCAGCAACGGAAGCAGCAGCTTACCATCTTCTACAACGGCAGAGTTTGCGTCTCCGACGTTACAGAATTCCAAGTACGTCCTCTCCATCTCTGCTTCTTCTGGCTGGCAATAATATGTTTATGTTGATGTTTTTGGGTGCTTAATTAATTACCGTACGCATTTAATTAGTTCATCAAAAAACATCTTCCCTAAACTAGCTTGAATTCATGATCAAGAAAATTTCATCCAAAGAAAAGTTTCATCAAGGAGGTGTTTAGGCAGATTCAACCAACTGGCAGGAATTAGGCAGCGGCCGGTTCGTGCAGTTGACCTACACAATAAAAACAAAAAAGCAAACATCAATGGCGCCATGTGACTATCGTGGCTAATACTTTCTTTCCTTTTTTCTCTTGAAAAAAATCTTGTGCCTGATATTCAGTAGTGGGATGGACCGTGTTTGTGGGTATTGGAATATTCAATCGGTTATGGATATCATCTGAACAATGGTAACAGGAAAATGAAAAAAAAAAAAAAACTGAAAAGATTGCACATCCCCTCAAACAAAAGCCAGTCAACTCATAAGGATTTTCGTTTGCACATGTTCTTAACATGAAGAATACATATACTTCACAAATGGGGTCATCGGGATTCGAACACAAGACCTCCTGATACCATGTCAAGAACCAGTTGCTCCCAATAACTTTGAGTTGTTGGGAGAGATTCAATAATAAATCTTATACATTTCACTGACAGGATTGATGAGGTGAGAATGTCGAGCAGCTCCTCAGCCAAGCCAATTTATGGCATTGCGATGTTAAATTCTTACTTACCTAGAAAAAAATAAACATAAATTCTTATGTAAAGAGACCAGGTCAATAACTCTTGTTCATATAACGTTACTAACGCATTACCAACGTACAACATTATATCATTGCATCATACCACCATTGTACAATTTCATACTATGTTCATGCAAAATATCTAATGGGTTGGGAATGCAGGCGAGGGCGATAATGATGCTGGCGGCGAGCCAGGAAACGGAAGAAATGTGGATGACCGCCGACAAGCAACAACACAAGGACGAGAAGAAGACGGAGAGAAACAGCATAAGGAGCGGCAGTGGAGAGAGTGGAGACGGGTCGAGTTCGGAGCCTCCGTCACCTAGTTCGGGTCACCGTTATCATCATCCACCGCCGCCGCCGCCGCCTCTTCATTTGCAGCTGTACAGTCCCAACAGTCTCTACATGAAGAGATCGCTGCAGAGGTTTCTCCAGAAACGGAAGCATCGGATTCAAGACACCGCCTCTCCTTACCATCACCACCGCCCATAGCTAGCTAGCTAGCTTTAATTAACTTGTACGATTTAGGAGTTTTAGACTAATTAACATTCTTTCTCCTTCTTGTTTTCTTCACCTTTCTCTTTTAGCTTAAGCACCTCGATTTAGGCATGAGTGATTTTAGAAGATTAGTGGTAATTAATCTCTGTAACTTGTGCTTTGGTGTGGGAGCCAAATGTTCTACCTACTGGCTGAGAAGTGAGATTGATTCTGTGTCGCTTTCGGGAAGAGGGTTGGAGGAAGTTACCTAGACTAGTACGGGGAAGAAAGCACTGATCGATTAATTAATTGATGTCCTTTACTTTTCGATAACCTAAATTATGTACTTTTGTTTGTACACATATTAAAAAAAATGTACATCGTGTGTTCATATGTACTATAGTACAATCGAGTGTTATTTAATTTTTGTGTTTGATGAAAGTGATGTTTCGTTTTATTAAAGTGATCCTTGGAAAACATGGTACAACATTGAGCACAATAAAACAAACAAGATAAAAATAAAAGAGTAAATGCAATGGAGGAAGAAGCCCCTGACAGAAAGAGAGAAATAAAGGTGGTTATTAGGAAATTACTTCCTCTTAGTACTGGTAATCGGTTGGTAACCGATAATCGGTTAACGGTATATCAAATCTTGTAAAGTAATTTTCGACTATTGGAGTCTAATTGGGTATAACTTGGTATAGTAATATTTGGTTTTTTTTGCTATCGTGTACCGATAATGTCGGTTAATGGTTTCCCCGGTGGTTATGGTTGGGAATCAGTGTTTTTCGTGGAGATTTGATGCTCCCTTGGAATCTTCTGCTCTGCTTCAAACCCAATCTTAACTATTTCTCTAATTGGATAAACACAGATGGGTTGAATCGGTTGGCACGCATATTTTAGTTTTTGATGTTTTATGTTCACCCCTAATACTTAAAGAGCCACACCGGTTGGATTGTTGGATTTTTTTTCGTTGAATCAGATGCTTTTGTATTACCAAAACTATATGCAGTGTACATATAGGAACCGATACAACTAAAGGGTAGCTCGATATGAGCAACCTTGCAGAATAGTGAAACTTCCAAAACCCCTCACATTCCTACAATGGACTCAACTCAACTCATAATGCGAGCTGCACTAAGATCTGCTTGCAAACTACCATCCACACTACCAGATACATTAAATCAGAAATGATCAAACTTCGAATACTAGCACGTCCTTAGGAGGTAGCAAATGTTGCCTGTTGCACCGCTCACGCCACAAATAAGCAATGCACGCACACCAGAACACCCCTGCAACTCTCCCAAATGGAGTCTTCCTGTTAGTCAAAGCAACAACATCATTCACATTTCCCTGCCAACTTGATCTGCAGAACTGATGGGCATCCTTCCAACAAGAAACCACCTGCATTAAGTAAGCACACTGAAAAAACAAATGTTCTCTAGTTTCAACCGAGGTTTTGCAAAGCAAACAAGCTCCATCTATTATCTTACCCACTTTAACAGCTTATCTCTAGTGATAATGCCATCTAGCAAGACAAGCCACGCAAGAAAACTGTTGTTAGGTAGATGGCCTTTCCCCCAAACCAGACCTGCCCAATCTACCTTCTGATATTCAGTCCGCAAAGTATTCCAAACAGTAGACACTTTATACACATGCATCAACTTGCCATCCCAACTTGCCATCCCAACTAGGTAGATGAGCTTTAGAACCCTTCTCCATGCCCACGAGCTACTGGGACTAACACTCATAATCCAAAAACAACCTTGTTTCACCTTGTAACACCACATGCAGGCCACCCAAATAGTCACACTTTTCATCATTAATAGCCAGATCATTCTGATAGAGCAGGCCCTATTCCAAGCTAAAAGATCTTTTATCCCAAGGCCTCCTTCCACTTTCGAACGAGCTAATCGATCCCAGCCAATTTTTGCTCGACCCTCCTTTCCCGCATGCCAAAGAAAGTTCGAGCAAACAATATACACTCGCTTTAGTACCTTCTTAGGCAAAAGGAAGACTTGCTTCCAATACTGCAACAACCCCATGATTACAGGGGTGATTAGTTCAAGCCTACCTGCATAACTCAGCTGCTTGGCACGCCATGTTCCAATTTTTTGAGTGATCTTTGACACCAGCTTATCACAATCAGTAGAAGAAAGCTTCCCAGAGAATAATGGAAGCCCCAAGTACTTGAATGGAAGTTTTCCTTCTTGGAACCCAGACATCTGCAAAGCATTACTCTTGAAGAGAGCAGATTGCCCCCCCCCCCCCCCCCCAAAAAAAAGTACACTTCACATTTGCTTGGATTACACTTAAGCCCTGAAAGGATATAGAACTCATTAAAAAGCTCATGTACTTTATATATTGCTTGCGCGGACCCTTCTGTAAAAATGAGAAGGTCATCTGTGAAGCATGTGTGAGTCAACCCTATGTTTTTGCACTGTGGATGATAAACCAATGACTTATTCGTTGCAGCTCTGTTAAGTAAGGAAGAGAGACCCTCCATTACAATAGTAAACAGGTAGGGAGAGAGGGGATCCCCTGCCTCACCCCTCTCTTTGCCCCCAAAGAAACCACAAAGCCCTCCATTGACACAGATACTAAAACGAGAAGTTTTAACATAGAGTTTTATCCAATACATAAACTTAGTCGGGAATCCCATAACTTCCATCATTAAGAATAGATAATCCCAGTTTACTAAGTCAAAAGTCTTCATTAGGTCAATTTTTATAGCACAGCGGGAGGAGAGATTCATTCTACTATAACGACTGACTAATTCTTGAGCCATAAGGATATTATCCACTATTCTTCTTCCTTCAATAAAAGCCGACTGATTACAACTAATCACAGTTGGAAGCACCTTTTTTAGTCTATTTGATAGCAGTTTTGCAATGATTTTATAGAGAATGTTGACACAGGAAATTGGCCGAAAGTGTTTGAGTTTACAGGCAGAAGGTACCTTAGGGATGAGAGAGACTGCAGTAGAATTGACACTACTTGCCAGCCTGCCAGAAGAAAAGAAGTCCAGAACTACTGCGATGATGTCCTCTCCAATGATAGACCAGGCCTTCTAGAAGAACCCAGCTGAATAGCCATCAGGACTAGGGGCTCTATGTGGATTCATATGCATAGTCACTGATTTAACATCCTCAGAGGTAAATCCCCCACACAACATTGACTTCTCCTCCTCTGATAAAGATCTAGTAACAAGGGCCTCCAACTCTAGCTTGTTAGAATTAACAACCTAATCCACATTACCAAACAATATATGATAGAATGAGGCTGCTTCCTCAGCTATCAATTTAACATCAGTAATCTCCTCTCCAGAGTCTAGAACAAGCTTTCGAATAGCTTTCTTTGCAGTCTTTACTTTAAATGATTGGCGAAAATATCTTGTACCCCTATTCCCCATTGTGAGTGACCTGATTCGAGTTTTCCTCCAGTACAAACCTTCCTCAACCGTTTTCAATTCCTCCCACTTCTTCTGCATAGTAGTGACTTCAAGAAAATTCTCAGCAGAAGGACAATTTAGAGCCACCTGTTGAGCAGCTAGGAAAAGCCTCTCAGCTTCCCCGACTTGACCACTAATGTATGAAAACACCTCCTTATTTAATCATTTTAGCCCATTTTCACCTCATTTAGTCTGGCTTTAACCACCTGAATAGAACCCCTTGAATATGAGTATCCCATCCAGTCTTAACGATCTGCAGGAAGTCTGGATGCTCTTACCAAAAATCGAAGTATTTGAAAGGCTTAGGGAGGGTCCCCTGATCTGGTTTGGTAGACACCAAGACTCCACAATGATCAGAAAAAGTACCAGTAATGATTTCCACTATACAATTGGGTAACATATCAAACCACATCTCATTTACCAATGCTCTATCTAGTCGTCTTGCAATGGTATTCCTCACCTGCCTATTTGCCTATGTAAAGAGTGGCCCTGCAGACCTATGATCAAACAACTCCATAGCTGAGACCCACCCATTGAAATCACTCATACAACTGGTCGTATCAGTCAAGTTTGATGTGCCAGAAGGACTAAGAACAACATTAAAGTCACCACCTACAATCCAAGGCACTGTGGTCACCTTTAAAGGAGTCATCTCTCGATATGTAGCTTGACGTTCTGCTTCCTCATTGGATCCATACACTACTCCCGTTATAAAACAAGACTCCCCCTCTCTACTTTGAACCAGAATATGCACAAAAATTTTGCCTGGTACCATAATTCTTGCATTAACCTTGTTAGGATTCCAGTATATCCATAGCCTCCCCAAGTCACTAACCACATAGTTCAAGTGCTTCTGCCAGTCAGGACAGAACCCCTAGGCCACTTTCTCTGATTTATGCTTTTTTATTCTTGTTTCTATAATAGCTACTACGTCTACATTATAACCACGCAGAACTTGAGTGAAGTCCTGCCTCTTAGAGGACTTGTTAAACCCTATAACATTCTAGAAGAGAATCTTCATGGCGGTGGTGGGGAGGAAAGCCTCCCACCCTTCTTACTACCCTTCTTAGGAGCCACCTGAAGTTTGATTACCTCATCTTCATTATACTTGTTAAACACTTCAAAATAATGAGACATATTGAGCACACTTGTGGGACTGGGAATTGGTGACCAAACCCGTTGCTTACCCCATTAACTACCCTTTGAAAATCTGCTTCTGAAGGTAACTCAAGATTTGTGTCTGGGCATTGAAATGCAATCACATTTGATCCCATCATCAGAGATGAAGTGGCTAATGGTGTTGCCCCATGGTCAGTCATCACTCCCATACCCTTCTTGTTTACAATGCCCGTGTTTCCCACTACCTCAATCTGTGCAACTGGAGAATCTCCCTTTAGTTGGTTCCCCTCAGCCTCTGCCTCCTTATGCACCTTATTCTCTTTCCTCACCTAGACCTTTTCTCCTTGCTTACCCTCACAACCACAGTCTAAACCAAACGAACAACACACCTTACAGACAGGTGGAAGGAAGTTGTACTGTACCCCCACCCTGATCGAGGTATTATCATCTGGCCAAATCAGAACATGATCAGGAAACTCACCCGATGCCCTCAATTCCACTAAGACCTTTGCAATCCCCAAACACCCTCCAAGACGGGTAGTCTGGTCTACCCCTAGAGGCACACCCAACCAACTCCCCATTCGGCTTAATCCTCTAAAATTAACATACTCAATTGGAGTATTAGAGAACCTTACCAAATTGGCAAAGCCTTCCTTCCAAGATCTTCAACATCAATACCAGGCTTCCACGGACGAAGGTATAGCAGATGCCAGATTGTCAAAGTAGAACCAAGGGCCACTTTCCAATATCCAGACGCAAGTAGCTTGTGTTGGGAGCTGGATAAGGAGTAATTGATCACCCAAAACCGAAACACAAACATGCCCGTCTCGACCCTAGATCTTATTCGCCCACCGCCTTGGTACGGGAAGTGGGGGAGCTTTGTGAAGAAATTGACCAACCAGGCTATGCTTCCAGCGAGCTGCGCCCTCGTCGATAACCTCTTTCGTAGGGATGGCAACAAAACCCGAACCCACGGGTACCCACCCGACCCAACCCGGTCAATCAACGCGGGTAAAACCCGTGTTTTGGGCCGGGTTCGGGTTTAAACCCGCTACACTATTCACCGGGTCGGGTTGGGTTTGGGTTTAGGTAAATCCGCCCCATGGGTACCCGTCCACACACATATAATTACTTTCCCGGTATATTTAATATTCTAAATAATATATCTTCCTTAAACAACTAATATTCTTTATGTTTGTGGAAACATGTACAATTTGTTCTTTCTAATTGTTTAGAATGAAGTTGATATTATGAAGTAAAGAATGAAGAAACTTAGTTGACGAGGAAGAAACTTTCAATTAATCTTATTGTTTAGAGATGTTTATCTTTAATTTTGAACAATTTGTATTGATCATTTGTTGTTTGCTTGTATGCTCTAGATTGGTGTTTTTTGTATGATTAATTTGTATGAGAAAATTGATGTTAAAACTTTTATTTTGAAAGAAACTTGTTATTGTAAATTTTTTACTAGAAAAACCCACGGGTACCCATGAACTCGCGGATAGCCAGCGGGTTGGGTTGGGTTTGAGTTTTTAAAACCCAACGGGTTTTACCCCGGGTTTTTTTGGCGGATAAACTCATGGGTTTGGGTTTGACAAAACCCGCCCCAACCCGACCCATTGCCATCCGTACTCTTTCAACATACGAAGCCCGCCTTTGCAGACCTCAGGTTTGACATAGCAGAGTCGATTCGCTTCCGAGATGCCGAACAAATTAGCCCAGGGTTTCACTGGGATCCCCTGGGTCGGAGCTTTGTCCAGAGATGGCGAAAACATTATGAAGCCTAACGAAGAATCCAACAACACTCTCGCACCGGCGCAGATGCCGGCACGGCCAGCAAGCTCAATCGGAAACCTAGCTGCCAAAAATTTGGGAGAATCCTCTCTCTACTTTCGATCAACAATTTAAAAAAAACATAATTGTCCCTATATTTTTCATATTTTACCATCTTATACCTAAAATGGAATTTATTTTATGAATATGTTATTCAAAAATTGCATTTTGGTACCTATAATATTGACATTAGGACCTGAAATTTTCAAAATTTCCATTGTTGGTCTAATGTTTGGATGCTACTTGGATCCATGGATCCACTCCATGAATCCACAAATCAAATCCATTAATCACCTCTACATGAGTCCGTTCGACAATGAAGATGCATAGCAGCATTTCACATGAATGCATCCCTGTTTTGATTTGTAGTACTGATTTGTAGTACTGGCCAAGACTCTTGTACATTCGATATTTAGTCAGCGAATCATTCTGATTTACATATCCCAATTTTGAGGACTAATTGAGCTCGATGACTTACAAGACACAACATAGTACACAAAAAGAGTTTAGTGTCATTGACTCTAAATGTTAGTAACTCCAAACATATGGCATCATTTATCTAATTGGTCAAAAGGTTTACAGTTTATAGTTATTTCCAGTGACCGTAACTGTGACCGACAGAAGTTGTAATGTTTGGATGACCTAACTATGCCCCTCGGCCGTAGGGGGCATCAACTGTTCAACATGCTAACCAAATTACTCAGATATGATTAGATCGGGCGAGGCAAAGTAGGCAATCCTTCTTACGTACTGCGTTCGTCGTCAATTTAAACGATCTTTAGTCTTCATGTTTACATTACTTTACACAACAATGGATGGATACGACCTTTTCCAACAAATGGGGAGGTTCTTATTCTCAACATTACAAAGCAAAATTACAATGCCAAATGGTTCCAATTCAACTCATAGCCTGCTGCTAGGGAGCGAGCGAGGAGGATCCCAGTCAGTAATGATGTGATTGCGAGTAATCTCCTCGATCGATGTACACCCGCTTAGTGCCATCGTCAGTTCAAGCTCGTCCCTAAGCATATGCAGAACTTTCCTCACTCCAGCCTCTCCATCTGCCGCCAATGAGAACACCACTGGCCTTCCAATCTGCCAAACCCCCCACGGAACATATAGAAAACATCAAACAAAGTGTAACTAAACCGGCCCCAGATTTTGGCCACCACATCCATACGTGTTAGAGATATGCTTACAAATACACCAGAAGCTCCCAGCGCCAGTGCCTTGAACACATCTGTCCCACGGCGAACTCCACCATCTAGGAACACAGGAACTCTGCCCTCTGCAGCTTTCACAACCTCCTCCAGAGCTGTGATGGTGGCTGGAACATAATCAAGCTGGCGGGCTCCGTGATTGGACACAATGATCCCTGCCACCCCATTCTGTACTGCTAGCTTCGCTGTGTTTCATTCAACAAAACCCCTAGAAATCATAATGCCACCAGAGACAGGACAAAATCTGGGAAGGAGGAAGTTGGTTTGGCGTTATGTATGCTTACCATCTTCAGCTGTCAGCACCCCCTTCACTAAAATTGGCAAGAAGGTGATGGTTTGAAGCCACTTCACATCCTGGGTTATACAATTAAACAAACTTAGTACTAGCCACAATGCCAGAGTTTCAGGTGGTCAATGGAGATGGGCGAGAGCTCTTGTTAGTAGATAGCTAGTAGTAGTACCTTCCAGCTCAGCATCGGATCGACTTGGCCAACAAAATAGGAGGCCAAACCTGAGTCACTGGTCTGAGCGAATCAAGCGTTATATGTCGTGATAAGTGATAATAATTCTGGATAGAGCTAGCCACGCTTGCAGATTTCACAAGTTGAGAGAGTGGAGGCTTTGTGGGTCTAACCTTGTCTACTGTCATTTTGCCCAAGTCCAAGCCCTCAAAGTTCTTCAGTGTCAAACTGGGTGGCAAAGCAAACCTACAATAAAGGAGAATGCAGTTCAGTAGTTGCACACAGATGCTTAAAAGCGATTGAATCCGTCTGGGTAGAGGTTCACAAACAAACCTGTTCTTGATATCAGCTTCTCTCCGACCAAGTCTTGGGGTGTCAACCGTAAGTACAATCGCCTTGAAACCGGCTCTTTCAGCTCTCCTAACCAACTGAGCGGCTACGTTCCTGTCCTTGTACACCTGATGATTATCAAATATCAAGACACAACCTCAGGATGAACTGAAATGCAGACATACCAATGCCATCGGTCCAGAACGAAATGGAGAAAATAGGATTGAGTGGTTTTGCAGAGAAATCACTCTTTTTTTTAATAAAGAGAAATCACACTCACATAGAGTTGGAAGAAGCGAATGCCAGGACCTGTTGAAGCAACCTCTTCAATACTTGATGTAGCCAATGATGACAATGTCTGCAGAAGATCACATCCAAGTCATGGATGGTAATAGCCTTTACTAAGGCAGACCTGTTGTGAAATAGTGTTCGAATAAAAAAACCTAACTCAAGTCACATTCTTACCATAATCGTGCCAGCTGCTGAAGCAGCTCTTGCTGTAGCATACTCCCCTGCATCGATTAAAAGTTGATCATGGTCAACTACAATCAAATAGAAAGAACCCTTGTGCGCCCTCAGTGGCATCTAAATCAATTCGAATGAAGGGAATTGAATGAACGAAAACTGGGACTTAAATACCATCAGGGTGTGCCATTTTCTGCATAGCGGTTGGAGCAATCATGATCGGCATCGAAATCTTGAAGCCCATTACAGTTGTGGTCAAGTCAATGTTGCTCACATCAACAAGAATCCGCGGCCGAAACCTATATACTCAGAATCAAAGCCCCGTAAATAACGAACAATCTGAATATCTTCAACCAAAGGACACAAGAATATCAACTTTTAGATGCATGATCCGGAAGAAGAAACAAAAAAGGAGTAGGTGGGATGGGATTACAGGATTCGAGAGAAGGCATTGCGGTTTTCCTCGAGAGTCCACTGGTCCTCTGCCCCAGAGGCGTAGTAGTCATAAACCATCTTGGGCAATTTCTGCCTCGCGATTTCTTCATACTCCATCACGTTTGTGATCTCCTCCATCCTGCAATTAAACTTTGATGCGAATCAGAAACCCACACGCCAGAAAGAAGAAACAAACAAAGGTAGCAACTTTCCGATGAAAAATTCACAGCAGGGCCCAACAAAATCAGCCGATTATAACGAAACCTCGGATGGGTTTTCTGTCTTTATAGCGTACCTTTGCGAGCTGAACAAAGATGAAAGTAGGATGAGGACGTTGGGGAGTAGCTCTCTGGGGATCATATCAGAGACAGATCAGCACCCATCAGGTGATCGAGATTCGAGAGGGACTTGATGAAATTGGACTAGCTTGTAGTATCGTCACTAGCAGGAGTACTTTGTCCAGCTGTTGTATGCCAAAAACAATTGATCCCGGCAGAAACAAACCACCGAGGATGCACTGGGCGACACTGACCGGTAAACATTGTAAGCTGAGAAAGAACAAAAGATATAATATTACGTTATTACTATAATGGAGAAAATGGTGCAAAACTGCAAATTTGAGGATGGAGATTGAAGACACGTGAGATTGGCTTTGTCTTCTCAAGAAACTCTGGGTAGAAAATTTTAATGGCTAATTGGTAAGAATCAGGTTCTGTTTCGTGAGGAAAGTGGAAAAAATGACAGAATACTCTAGTTATTAATTTTTTTTCCCTAAATACCGTACTTATAAAGTTATTTCTCAAAGTACAGCAGTTTCAACATCACTGTCGAAGACGAAAACAGTAATTATAATCACCGCCTTCGAAAACAACGGTGAAGGTATCACCGCGTTCGTGTATAACGGTGATATTATGACCGCTTTCCTCCAAAACGGTGATTATATCACCGCCGCCGTCCAAAACGGTGATTGCATCACCGTTGTTGTGCAAAACAGTGATTAGATCACCGCTGTGGACCAAAACGGTGATATTTGACCACGTTTTAGAGCCCTGGTAGGTGGAAAATTAGGTCACAGCGACCTAGCTATCACTGTTTTGGACAAAAGCGATGATGTGTTCACCGCAATTGTCCACTGCGGTGATTAGCTGGCATATTTCCTTATAAAAACCGACCCTCACGTTCCTACTGCTGCCTTACAACAAATTAGTACAAAAATTAGTGATTTTTTGGTTGTTTTCTCAGCTGGTTTGGAGTTGGTTTACAGCAACAAGAAACTCATCGGGATTCGGTATGTTATAATTATGTATTGTTTACATATTGATGTATTAGTAATTATATGTCTGTATTTAGTGAATAGCGGTTATTGGCAAATATGTTATGAGATATTTAGATTAATTATGATATGATTGATGTTAGTTAGTTAGTTATGAATTTAGATGAATTTGTTTAGTTTTCTCATGATAGATCAATTAGTTGCGGTTGTTTATGGGTTTGGATGATATTATTTTTGTATCCCTAATGTACTAATTATATACTATACTTAATTATTATAAATTGCAGACATGGGTAAATTTAAGAAGTTTCGGCTTATTATTCGGTGGAATGGTCGGGTGACAAACTCGAACATTGGGATCGACTATGAAAATGGCGAATCCACTATGCTAAAAATTGAGTCGAGATTCTCGTGGCAAGAACTCCGTGACATTTATGCAGAAAGGATTTGTATGGGCGGGCAAATGAGAGTTGGTCAAATTACTTACCGGTATCCAAACATGAGTGCTGACGGAATCATGTACGAAAAAGTTGTCATAAATGATGATGACGCGGTGAACATGATGATACAGTTCCTATCTGACAACGGGGTGCGGCTTGCAGAGGTGTATGTCGAGACCGAGCCGGTCGGTGAAACTCATTCTCACCAGTATTCTTGTGATGATGGTTTTGCAGGAGGGTATGGCTGGGGTGGTAGTTCCAGTAACTACGGAGGAGGTACTTCTGCAGGAGGGTATGGCTGGGGTGGTACTTCAAGCAACTACGGAGGAGGTAGTTCTGAAGGAGGTGTTGGGTGGGAAGAATACCCGCAACATGCTGAGACTGCCGTCGATATCATTCAGCCCGACGGTGATCAATGGCCTGCTTGGGGTCCAGAGTGGGCTGACATTGAGAACACCCTTCGATCTGGGCGTACTTCGCATGACCAAGAAGACGATGTTGGTTATGCTGGTAACGATGACCATCGTGAGCCGAGCTATCCATTCGCCTCCAGTGACGATGAAAGTGAGGAAGATTTGAGACCAGTCAGTGAGGAGGAAGATACGGACGATATCGACGACAGAGAGGTGGCGTTCCGTTAGGCACCAATGCCTTACTACACAGAGGTTCCTGATCAATTTTTATATGGTCAAAACGATGCCCCTGAGTTTCGGCCCATGCATGTGTATAATCCAACTGCTAATTTGGAAGTGGGTATGGCGTTCACTTCGAAAGCCGATGTGCAAGATGCTTTTAGCGAAGAAGCCATGCGGCGTAACTTCGAATGGAAGGTAAAATATTCTGACACTAAACAACTGCATGTCATTTGTAAGAATGATGGAGAGGGTTGTATGTGGCAACTTCGGGATGCATATATGAAGAGAAAGGGCGCTAGGTCATGCAGACAGTAGAGAACAACCACAGATGCTCCTCAACCATACTTTCACAGGATCATCGGCAACTTAAAGCAAAAAAAAGTGGCAAGAACCATTAAGCACCTAATCGAGGCACAACCAGATATCAAGATAAAAGCTATCATGGCCGAGGTGAAGGATCGACATTCCTACACCATAAGGTATAAGAAGGCGTGGCATGGGAAGCAGAAGGCCATGGATAAGGTCTACGGTGATTGGGAAGACTCGTAAGCTTTACTCCCTAGACTAATGTCCGCAATGGAGGAGTCCAACCCTGAGATGGTTTTCGTGCCGTGGTACAACAACGTACAAACTGAAGATCAACTTTGAGTACAGAACGAGTTGATGTTTCATCGTTTGTTCTGGACATTCAAGCCATGCATTGATGGGTTTTCCTTCTGCATGCCAGTGATCCAGGTATATTACGGACTCAAGCTATTGTACTAGTTCATTACTTTACTAAGTTCAATTTTTACTAACTAATTATTCATTTTAACAGGTTGATGGAACTTTCCTTACTGGGAAGTATAAAGGAACTCTTCTCATTGCCACTGGGGTTGATGGAAATTTAAGTATTTTCCCCTTAGCATTTGTATTAGTTGAAGGCGAGAACAACTTAAGTTGGGCATGGTTTTTTGACCAGCTACACGCCCACGTCACACAAAGAATGGGTATTACAATTATATCGGATCGACATGCCGGGATTAAGCACGCCGTCGGTGGTTTTCCCGACGAATGGGGATGGACATGGCGCTGGTGTATTCGTCACTTCCTTGCCAATTTCCAGCACAAATTTGGCAAGAAGAAAGACATAAGAGATCAATTGTGGAGTGCAGGTAGTAATGGAATTCAGTGCTTGTTCATGGTTTATTGTTCAAATGAAATTTCTTATGCCTTAATTATTTATTATTCGGTCTTGAAGTGGTTGCACATCAACCAAAAAAGTATGAGCAGAAGATGAAGACGATCCGTCAGATACACCGGGTGGGGGCAATATGGGCAGAAGGTCAAGATCTGCACATGTGGACATTCCACATGGACAACAGGGCTAGATTCGGCATTGCAACTACCAACCATGGCGAGAGCATAAATGGAGTCCACAAGGGCCTTAGGGCAATGCCTGTATCTGTCCTAGTGGAGATGACATACTGGAAGGTAAACGAGTGGTTTATGAAGAGACGGGAGCTCGCTATAGGGAGGGAGCGTGCTGGTCATTCAATAGCACATCATGTATTTCATGACATGCAGAAGATCGAAGAGAAATCAAGTAAGCACAGAATTGGTCTGTTCAACCACAATGAAGGTATTTTTCCTGTGCAAACAGGTATTTGGGGTGGAGGAAGACGTGGGCATAATCGTCAATCCGTTACACTACACGTAGAAACTCGCACCGGAGAGTGTACATGCCAAAAGTATCAAAACAAAAGAGTACCGTGTTCACATGCGATGGCAGTAGCTAAGTCGATAACCCTCAGCGCTTATAGTTTGGTTTGTCCTTACTACACGGAACAGGCGATCAGGAACTCCTACTCGTCAAGTTTCAGCCCCCTGCCGGATGAAGCTTATTGGCTTGTAGACAATGGGAAGTGGATTATCCCACCATTGCACTTAAAGCGCACCAAAGGTCGTTCTAGGACCGAAAGGATTCACAATGAAATGGATCAATCACAACGTGCCCGACGAGGTCCAAAACGTTGCTCAAAGTGCAGACAACCGGGTCATGACAAGAGGCATTGCCCAGGTCCACCTTTGGAGCAAGATTCGGGGGCAAATCCCAACCAACGGCGAGGAGTGTCTACCGGATTATTGTTCCAAATTGCACGGGAGCGATGTTGATCTTGCACGGTTAAATACCTTCGATCCCTTGGGCCAGGATCGATATACAATCGAGGGTCGTATATCTCAGCACCCATCTATAAAAAAAAAATCAAATCAATTTATATTTCAGCACCCATTTAAAAAAATCACAAAAGAAAAAAAAAATAAATTTACGTACTCTCAGAGCCTCTTCGTCCATTTTTTGCCGAAAAAGCTAGAGAGAGTATCGACAAAACAAAAACTCTAGTAATTCTTTCTGATGCAGAAGATCGGACTTAGCCGCAACCACAGAGCATACTTAGAACGAAACTAGAGTGAAGTAATGGAGGGAGAAAGAAGTATAAAATGGTGATGTGGTTTGGAATGAGGGGGGAGAGTGGAATTTATAGGGTTTGGGCACTGGAAAATTTTGGAGCATTAATCACCGCGTCCAACAAAGGCAGTGAAGTCACCGCCTTGAAGAAACACAGTGGTGGCTCGGATCGGTGATGTGGCGCCATGTGAGTCGATCGTGGAGAAAAACCACAATTCGTGCCTCACCGCATCACACGGTAACGGTGAAGGCGCGGATGACGCGGATTGGTGACGTGGAAAGCGGGGCTATCACCTCTTTTGTAATTAACGGTGAAGTGCCCGCGCGTGTCCACGTCAGCGATCCGCGCCACTTCACCGTTTTTGACATCAACGGTTAATATCCATTCACCGCTTCCCTAATCAACGATCAGAACTTCCCTGTTGTTCACAAAAAAGGGGATTGTTTCCCCATTTTTCTCTTCAGTGGTGATAGCATCACTGCTTTGGTCAAATGCGATGATGTTCTCACCGTTTTAGTCTAAAACGGTTATTATCATCACTGTCTTCGTCATCGACAGTGATGTACAAACTGCTGTACTTTGGGAAATAATTTTATAACTACTGTATTTAGGAATTTTTTAATAATTAGAGTATTCTGGGATTTTTTCCTCCTTTTTCAATGTGTAATTGAATCAGGGGCGTATAATCTGTCATCACATCATTACTCCAACCAAATTATCTTTGTTTTTTTTATAATGGTGATTGCATTAAAAAAGAAAACCGAGTGTACAAAGTTTAGGGGATCCGAACCACGAAGAACAGAACAGCAAAACCCAGAAAAACCAGCAAAAGCGAAAGGAAA